GTAGTTTAGGGAGGAGCCCTTAACAGCCTCACTAAACTACAAACCCCAAAATTCTGCAGGAAGCAGAAACCGGATTTAAAGTGGATTTATTATCTAGTGTGATGAAGTAGATAGTGTAAAAATGACATGTTCATGTTCCACATTGGCTACTTTAGTAACAGTGCTTTGGAAATTTCTGTTGATGTTGACTTAAGTTGAACATATGTCTTCAGCTAGAATCTCAATGGGAGACATTTTCCATAATGAAATGTGGATTTCCTGAGGATTTCTCTTCCTAATAAATATGCTAAGTCTCTATAAAATGCATGTGGGACATTTGAATACATGATAGAAGAGGTTTTTGTCCACTTCACATGTTGTGGACTTTCCAAGAAGAGCCCCTCTGAGTGTGCGTGTAGGGAAAAGCTTTTGACAAAACTGCACTTTTGACTGTCACTTTTGCCCCCCCCCCCCCCCCCACTTTGTGTTTTTATGCTTCTGGAACTTAGGATGTACTTTTTGCTTTGCTTTACTTACGAGGGTTGTTCTGTTTATATTTACTTTAGAATACCATCTGTCAAAACCTTGTCTGTTCCAACTTTTGTATTTTAGTAGTGAACTGAAAAGTGCTTGGTTATATTTGCAAACACGATACTGACCTATCACACCCTTAATACAAACCTAGAGCCTGAAAAGGAAGCAATGGCTTCATAAATGCAGTGTTCTTTATATTTGTATAAGAGGCAGCTGTAGTAATACAGCAGTAGTTTTTCCATTTCCAAGTACAGGCAGTCTGAGTTACAAATGGCTCCTGGTTAAGAACGGGGGAGGGGGAACAAACAGGAGCTGAGAGAAATCTACTAGGCCTGGGTAACAACGCAAAAATTTGGTTTTGTAATCGTTTTGTAATTGGGGTGTTTTTTTGTTTCGTTATTTAAAATAATTACAAAATTTTCCAAAAAAAAAGTTCGGTATTAACGAAATTTCGTTAATATTTACAAAACATTTTGTAAAGATGGCGCCCTTTTTTTTCCAATATTTTTAAATATTCACCAAGCCACACAAAGCAACGGAGCCTGGCAGCAACAACAATAGCAGAAACTTTTTTCGCCCGAAGCGCCAAACTTTTGCGGAAGTTAGTCACAGGCTCTTTAAAAAGGATTACAGTCGAAAGGAGGAGAAAAAAGAATGAGGGAAAGTTATGTGAAAGAAAGAAGCGCCCCAAATGCCAAGCCAAACAGCAAAGGCCGGGGTGAATGGATGGCTGGCTGGCTGCCCTTCAAAAGACACAAAGTCCTTCCCCGTTTGAAGGCGCTTCGGCCGAAAGGGGAACGGAGCGGTCCCTTTCTGGGTGTGTGTGTGTGTGTGTGGGCACAGAAAGGGTCCCAAATAGGGAGGGCGGGAGGAGAAGGAGCCTTCAAAGTGGACAATGAAGGGGGAGGGCTGGGTTGGAGCGGGCAATACCTGCGCCACCAGCGGCACCAGCGTCTGCTCCACCGAGCGCGAGTGGATCTGCAGCCCCGGCAACAGCGGCTCCCAGCCCAGCGCCGAGCCCGGAGGGGAGCGTGGCCACGGGCAAACCCCGCTCCCGAGGCTCCCTCCTCCGCCTCCTCCTCCTCCTGCGCCACCGAGGAACGCGGCCATTGCTCCGGAGCCGCACCGCTCGCTCCTTCTCCAGAAGAGGAATGAAGAGGCGGCGGCAGAGAAGCCGGGGCTCCCCCTCGAGGCTCCGCTCCTTTCTCCGCCCTCCCTCTCCCCCTCTTTTTCCCGCCTTCGGACGTCCCCCCCCTCCAGCCAATAGGGTGGCCTCAGAGGGTCGCGCGCGCTCGCTTTGCCCCTCAGGCGGGAAAATTGCCATGCCTTATTCCCCCCACCTTCTGGGTTAATAAACTCTCTCAGGGCCCTTCCACACAGCCCTATATCTCAGGATATCAAGGCAGAAAACCTCACCATATCTGCTGTGATCTAAGTTGTCTGAGAGCACTTCCACACAGCCGGCGCCGAGAGAGGAGAGCTCCCAGCAAGCATCGGCAGGCGGCCATCTTACGTATTTCCGAAATGGACGGAAATACAAAATTTTTTGGCACCTGCCGTTTCGATATTTAAAAACACTTCCAGGTTAAAAAAAAGTTTTGTAATCGTTTCGTAATTCAAAAAATAACGAATTTTTTAACGAATTACGAATTAACGAAACGAATTGACCAGCCCTAAAATCTACCCCTTTATCACCAATTCTTGTTTCCACAAGCCAGATTTTTCAAAATCCAGTTATCACAGGGAAAGAAAGTGAGGTGAAATCTTCTGAACAGGGCACAAACAATAAAACCAACACCACAGGGTTGTTAAGCCTTCCCTGTGTTACCCAAAGCTGCAAATAGATATTTTTGGCTGGAGTTACTTTAAAAATTTACCTGTTCCAAGTTACATACAAATTCAATTTAAGAACAAACATACAGAACCTATCCTGTTTGGGGACTGCCTATAGAAGTATTTTATCAACCTTTAAAAAAATTAAAGGGAGTATCTACATAAGACACAATGGCAACAATTATATAGCAAGACCTAAACAGGCTCTAGGTTTTAACAGTAGAAATGAGTTCATGAATGAGAACCGGTTAAACCTCTGCTTCAGATACAAATTGTTGGCCCTCTTCCTGAGCATTGTACATTCCTGTGCAGAATGAGGGAACGTTACACCTAATCTCTACAAATCCCAGATTCTCCCAGCCAGCAATGGCCTTACTGTCTTGACAATGCAGTGGGGTATAGTCCAAGATGGGTAACTTTTCAACGCTTTGGCTTTTTGTACCTATCTGAGGTTACTTATTTGACAGAGAACAACCCTGTCAAACACAAAGCAACAACAACCAACGTAAACATCACAGAAACCCCCTGATTAAGAGTACAAAACAAACTGCAATCAATATAAGTCTCATATAGTGCAGAGTGAAAAATCTCTAGGTCCTTGAATTTCTAGACATGGTCAAAGGCTTGTTGAAAAAGCCATGTCTTCAGTTGTATACAGAAGGCTTGGAGAGTGGGGGCTAGCCTAATCTCCCTTGGGAGGGCATTCCAAAATTGGGGATCCACCACTGAGAATGCCCCCTCTCTCGTCCCGACCAACTGCACTTGAGACAGAAGTGGGACTGAGAGGAAGGCCTCCCGGTAGATCTTAGTGCCCACACCAGTTCATAGAAGGAGTTGTGGTTTTGAAAATAGGTTGGACCCTTTGAATTGGGACCGGAAACTTATCGGCAGCCAGAGGAACTGCTTTAATAGGGGCATGGTATGCTCCCAATAACCAATATAAATGAACCAGTGATTCGAGTCATCATTTCTAAGGCAGATTCATATATTCAAGAACTTTTCATAGGTTCAACATTTTTGCCTAGATATAATGATTTGTATTTTCAATCACTGGACCAAGTTTGGCACAAATACCCGATACTCCCAGATTTGAACACTGGTGGGGATGGGGGAGGATTGATTTTGTCATTTGGGACTTGTAGTTGCTGAGATTTATAGTTCGTCTACAACCAGAGCATTCTGAACTCCACCAATGATGGAATTTAACCAAACTTGGCATATAAAACTCACATGACCAACAGAAAATACTGGAAGGGTTTGATGGACATTGACCTTGAGGTTTGAAGTTGTAGTTTACCTACCTCTAGAGAGCACTATGGACTCAAACAGTGATGGCTCTGGACCAAACTTGGCATGGATACTCAATATGCTCAAATGTGAACACTGGTGGAGTTTGGGGAAAATAGACCTTTGGAGTTGTAGTTGCTGGGATTTATAGCTCACCTACAATCAAAGAGCATTCTGAATCCCACCAACAATGGAATTGGGCCAAACTTCCCACACCGATTCCCCATGACCAACAGGAAATACTGTGTTTTCTGATGGTCTTTGGCAACCCCTCTGACACCCTCCTCATGACCCCCACAGGGGTCCCGACCCCCAGGTTGAGAAATGCTGCTGTAGGTGAAATAAAAACTCTGGATATAATCCATTGATTTTCCTTTCAACATGCACATGCTTTCCCTAAATGTTTAACTCTTTAAGAAGACAGGAAAATAGGCTGATGCTTACCTTTCTGAAAGAGCACTGTTGCAAAAATAACTTGTGCAATGTCACTAAGAACTGAATGTGTTACAAAAGAACACAACAATATCATAAATTCACTGGTTATTTGAGAATACCAGGCCCAGTGAAATGCATAATATAGCTTTGGTGTGGATATAATAGAGTACAGGCCACAATGAGGAGGAACTTTCTGAACATTGTGAACTTAGTGAATTGTTTAAAAATGAATCCTTTCAAAACAACATCAAATTTACCAGCCAAGACATTCTCAATAGGTACATGCAAATTTAGGTGTTTGGAATAGAAGGAATATACATTTTGCAAATGTAACTTTGGATACCTATTTTAGAATTATTGTTAGCTGCCACTGTATATGTCTCATAAACAAAGTGAATAGCAGTATAATTTAAATGTCTTGCTGGCTGCATTTAAAAAGAATTCTCCAGTTTAAATAGTTGCCATTATTTTCAAATCCAATAAATTAATAACATTTCCAAACAATGCATATATTGTTGTGTTTGTGATTTTAAAATATGCTTTCGGGGTTTTCACTTGTGAGACAGAAAGAAAATGTTGAATTCCTTAATATAAATAAAGAAATCCAGCCCAGTCTCTCTTGCAGACTGTTTAGTTCCATGTCTGATAACCCATTCAGGCTGTAGCATGTTTAGAAGCTTTCTTTAGTTTCCTCCAGCTCTGATGTCAAATTTCTCTATACAAGAAAGCCCTACTATAATAAGCTGAATACTTGATCAGCACAATGCCTTGAATTTTAATGTTGCTGAGACAGCTCAGGAAAAAGAAAGGACATTCTGTTCTAGGGACTGAAAACCTTGGTGTTTACATGAATTTCAGTGAAAAAATTAGTTTGAAAAACAGATTCGGTCAAGTGCCTAATACGTAACCTTCTCATCTTTTATTCTTTGCAGATTTATACAGATTGGGCCAATCACTATTTAGCAAAATCCGGCCACAAACGCTTGATAAAGGACTTGCAGCAAGATGTAACCGATGGTGTTCTCCTGGCAGAAATCATCCAGGTTGTAGGTGAGCAAATTTGCTTTTTGTTATATTGTAATGTTTAACAATATTTTCTTTTGTGAAAAAGAAAGCAAAGAGACAACTTGCATGAGATTGTGGTCATTTTGATATAGATATTTTAATGATTTAATTGAAAACCTTGTGTAAAAGATTTGTGGGAAATAGCTCTTCATGGTAAGCTTTTCAGAGATATTAATATTATGAGAACAATTAAAAGCAATGTAAGAAATATGATTTTGGATAGTTTTGTTGAACATTCCCTTCTAATTTTTCACTTTGATTGAAATCATTAATAAGTTAAACTAAGCCTGCCTTAGGCTTTAGAAAATGCTTTTGATTTTAGCTAACCAAAAAGTGCCTTTTCAACCAGCTTTTTTCAAAACCAGAGCTCAAATTTGTGCATGGTGTCATTTCTAAAGGCTTCTGTGAGATAGAAATGTGGGATAGAAATATCAAGAAAAGGTAGTTTAAAAATCTAAGGTCAAATCATAACTTTATTTATTTATTTAACTTCATTACAGCTCCGGCAAGAATTCAATGCTGGTAAAAACCAACAATAAACAGTAAAAACATATCCTACAGTTAAAACGATTAGCAGTTAATCAATAGGACACATAAAAGAGTATACAAATTAAAAACATATAAGGTGCATAGTTCCATTCATTCGGTAACCTTGCTCAAATCCTTAATTCAGACCATGTTGAAACTCGTAGTAACTTATTCTTCTAACACTTGTGTGCAAAGCCAAGCCTTTAGCTTTTTTCTGAAAGCCAGAAGGGATGAAGCCTGCCTGATGTTGCTGGGGAGGGAGTTCCACAGCCAAGGAGCCACCACTGAGAAGGCCCTGTCTCATCCCTGTCAATTGTGCTTGTGAAGGAGGTGGGATCAAGAGCAGGGCCTCACCAGATGATCTTAAAGTTTTAGTAGACTCTTAGGAGGAGATGCGTTGAGACAGATAAGTTGGACCAGAACCTTGAGTTTTTCATACAGGAAAAATGTGTGCTTGATGTAATTGTATCACTGACTTTTAATAGAATGTGACATACTCCATATATAGGATTGCAGTATCTCATCCTGCAATCCTATATATGTTGAAAATAAGTGTCGTGGTATTAAATGCACTGACTGTTAAGCAGACATGGATAGATTTGCATGTAAGAGATGGTTCATAAACGCAAACTGGCAATTGTGGCTTGAGCATGAATGGAACAAACTTAGTTCACAAAGAAAGATACTGGGGAAGGGGGTTGTGATTAAGCCACACACCCCATATACATCTATATCTATACTTACCTGTATAAACGTATAACCTTTTGGTTTCCATAAAGAGACAGTAAAAAGGAAAATTGACACACTGACACACATTTGATCAAAGTGTTTTGACAAAAATGTAAACACTCCTCTGTTGCACAATATTTGGTGTGGAATAGGAACATAAGGTGAGAGTTGCCTGTTCATGTTACCTGTTTTGCCACAATGTCTCCCACATTTTGATAAGAAAGACTCTGAAACCCATTTATAATAGAAGCCCATGAAAGAAGAGCAACTCTCAAAAAACAGGGGAATTTCAGACTGGAAATAATCAGGGCCAGCGAATATCTCCCAAGAAAGGATCCCCCCCAGGCAGGAAACAGCCAGGCTTTGAAGCTGCCATGCTATTCAATGCTAATCAAGGTTGCCAATTGCGACATTCATACCTGCCTCAAACAGACAAGAGTTCTTTCTCCCACCCTCGACATTCCACAAATATATGAACACCACTTCTTGCCTAGTTTTCAACAGACCTCACAACCTCTGAAGATGTCTGCAACAGATGTGAGCAAAACATCAGAAGAGAATGCTTCTGGAACGTGGCCATACAGCCTGGAAATCTCACAACAACCCAATAGAGACCTTGCTTTTCTTGTAATACTCCGTTGTGTGAAAGTTAATTTAAATCCATTCCCACTAAATATAATTTAACAGCAACAACAACACAGCAACAATATAGGCTAAGGATCAATCACTTCAAAGTATCAGGTCACCTCAAAGGTCTGTTTGTATGAGATACACAGTAATTAAATGTAAAGAAATCAAATTATATTCTTGGATTTGTGTACCTGCACTCACCCTTTGCAGTCTATAAAGAAAACCAAAGCTATTGTAAATAATTTAGAACATTATAGTACTAAAATATGCTGGCTACAATTAATCTCAGGAGTAATAAAAAGTCTAGCTGCTATGCATTACTGGCATCTTCAACTCATATTAACATCTAAGGGTAGTAAGGATGCCCGGCAGGGGGCATTTTCTCCTCTTCCACTTTTGCTAGATCAGTTTGTCAAATTAATTATCCCCTTCAGCAAGTCACCCATATGGTATTGTCACCCACATGGGTGGAATGGTAGTGCACCGGAGACTCAAAACATCCATTAGCACAAATTAGAATGAACAAGGGAAGAACTTTGACATTTGACATTTTCTGCCAGAAGCATTAGGAGAGGTCCAGTTCTTCATGAGCAGAAAGCTTCTAGGATGGTCCAAATTGACCTCCTTTCTCCTGTAGTCCTGGGATGATATAAGCTTATTACATCACCATCGTTAGTATTTTAACTATTCCTTTGCTCTGGCTTTCTTTCCCTGTTAAAAATAATTGACATATTTCCTAATATTTTAAAATCAAAATTGATAAGCCAAACAGCTGAAGGAACATCACTGATATATGCTTTTAAAAGAATTTTTGATTGAGCTAGCAGAAGTGGGATTCAGAAATGTGCCAACTCACTTTAGTTTTTCCTGACTACTTTGTAACTAGTCTTCAATAAGAGAGAAATTAGTTTGTAATGCCTCTGTCCTTTCCCAGGAAATATTTTTAAAATGTATTTTAAAAAGTTAAGATGTAGTTGTGAAGCAAATTTATTATAAAGATACAAAACTTTTTAAAAACATTATTTACTATATTTATATCCTGCCTTTCTCAACCCTGAAGGGCATCCCGGCTTACAGCAGAGGCAATAATTCAATGCCTTAAACAATTCAACAATTACATAAGCATTTAGTTAAAAATCTAAACACAGTTAAAAGCAATTAAAACATAAACATTACTACTTATAGCTATAAAATCACATTTATATAACAACGACTACTGGATGAGGTAGAATGGTTGATACTCTCACTGCTGTCAATAGATGTTAAGTTTTCAAGAATTGCTATTTGGAAGCGTATAAAGAGATATATTCTTATTGGCAAAGAAGATAATATTATATTTCTCTAAAAGACCAATTTTTACTGCCATGTAGGTTGTGGATTTTCCTTGTTACTAGAAATCTGTCTAGTGTTTCCATGGAAAAATAGACTTCCCATGAAATGCAGAATTTGAATTTTATTTTATTATGATAGTCTCTGTTTAAATGGACAATGAGATTAGTGCCCCCTATGATATATGGGTTGTCCAGTCATTTGAGATATTCTGCTACTGATTATCACTTGGCATGAGAGCCACAATGATAACAATTAATATAACACCCTGTCTTATTTTCAGGGAAACAGGTATGTTACAGTTGCCATCCTATTCCCAAGTGAATAAACTTTCTATGAATAAAAACTATGGCATGAGAAAAGTTTAGAATAATAGAATCCTAGAATTGGAAGAAACCTCGTGGACCATCCAGTCCAACCCCCTGCCAAGAAACAGGAAAATCGCATTCAAAGCGCCCCCAAAACTTGGCCATCCAGTCTCTGTAAATGTGCGTTATCCTCACAACAGTCAACTTGTTAGAAAATAAATGATCCAATGTTACCAGTGGGTTTTGTTGCTCAGTGACATTTAGAACTGGGGCATTGTTGTGTTTTTAATTCTCTTTTCATATCAAACTTTTATCTCTCCAGCATGCCAGCAAATGACTGACTGGCTACTCTTAGCTATAAAGGCTGAGCACCCCTTATGCTCAAAATACTCCAAAATCTAAAATTATCCACATGACTAACAGACATATGATATGATACCTTTGCTTTCTGATGGTTTAGTGTGCCCAGCTTGGTCCCCGAATACCAATTGCTGGAATGAACAGTAAGAACAGTAAGAAGTTCTTATATCCAACTTGCTCATAGTCTTGCAGTTGGGTACTATGTGGGAAAGGGATGCTGGAAAGGAGGAGGAGTCTTTGGTTTTTAACAAGCAAAACATTTTTCCTCTCCCAAAGTGTATAAAAATTATGGACCTAGATAAGACCACTATCTTAAATGTCTTAACTGGGTTACACATACAAGAAAACCAAGCAGTTTGTCCATGTTGGCATTTTTCATAGACATTCAGAACTTTCCATAGCTGCAGTAAAGTCAAACAATTTCACTGAGGGTGAATATTTTAAAAAGGCCCTTTACACACCCTATTAGTGTGATTATCTTTTTGAATTGTGAATACCCAGAAGACAGCTTTCAGCTGCTACCACATCTCAAAGCCATCAACATGTGTTATTATCAAGCCTTGCCACAACCAGCAGGGTGGCATTAATCATGGTTTATAGGCAGCCGTAGCTCTGGTGTCAGGCTGCAGCTCCCTCATTGCACATTTCATGCAATTTTTCTTTTTTACCTTAGAATATCATCATAATTGATTGCCTGGCCTTGGTGCTTTCACTATATGTTTTCACCAAATTCTTGGACGCCTCATTTCTTTGGATTTTTTGACCCAAATCCTGGAAGAAAGGAAGGGACCAACAGGATATTAAACCCATTTCCCCCCTGAAATTCCCCCTTTCCCTTAGCTGCTGCTGTTATTATTGTTTGTTTTTTAAAAGTTGTTTCTGGGACATGAGAAGCCTCCCACAAGGAGGTAAAACATCAAAGCATCCAGGCGTTCCCTGGGCAACATCCTTGCAGACAGCCAATTATTTCACACCAGAAGCGACTTTCAGTTTCTCAAGTCGCTCCTGACATGGAAAAAATTGTTTCTAATTTATGGCAACCTTAAGGTGAACCTGTCAAGGGGTTTCTGTTGCTGAGATTATGCAACTTGCCCAATGTCTTCCAACTAGAAGGAATGGGAGTGTGTGCTGCGGCAATAAGACTTCAGCCATGAATTGTGCCATGGGTACAACAGCCCTCATTTACCGATAACAGAAAAGTTCCTATTTTTTTGGATTATAATTCCCATATTATCCCTTGAAGGAAGCATTCTGAGAGAAACTCTAGGAACTGTAATCCAAAAAAGAAGATTCGTCAATTTCTATATTGGTTGCTCACTGACTTATCCCAGCTACCATTTGATCCAGTGTGCCTGTGTTAGAGCAGGATCATGCAAAGTTCATCATTCCAGTGGATAAATAATACCACCAGTATGCATTGCTAGCTTTAGAACATTTGATTTGCCAGAAGGATTTGTTCTGCTGGTGACTTCCTTTTATATATATTCATGTGTTGGGGGAAACCAGCAGCTGCCCAGCCAAGTTATTTAAAGAGTACATTATTGTACCATATAGCAGAAGGAATATGCTTCTGCTGTTTCTGTACACATGTGAGACATAATAGTATGTGTCTCCATGTAGAAGCTAGTAGTCTTGGAATGTGTCTGTCACTGAAGGACTGAAGCCAAGCATTCCTTTCTTGGCTCTTTTTGATCTGCTTGTGAAAAAGAAGCAAATGTTTGGTCCATCCACATCCTGCCTTTGGAGGATATTAAGCCATTTAATTTGTTATTTTGACATGAAGAAGGAGGAAGACATAACTCATATTTCGAGAGTATGTGGGAGTAATATTTTGAAAAGGCCACAATTTTGATCAGTGTATTTTTTTCACCCAGAGGCCATGTTATTGCATGTACAGTATGCAGTACATGTAGGACAGGCATGGGCAAACTTTCTAACTTGGGGTCCGCATGGCAGGTCAGAGCAGGGTGAGCGGGCCATAAGGGGGTTCTCCCCAAGACCCCTCTTTGCCCTTTCCTTCCTGTCCTCTTCTCTTTTGGAGGCAGAAAATGAAGGAAACACGGGAAACTATTGGATCCTAGAAGGGTTGATCTTGGTCATGATGAGATGGTGAACAGGAGAGAAATAGTGTATCCATTAGATTACATGTTGCCTACTTCTGATATAGAATCCTAGAGTTAGACGAGACCCTAAGGGCCATTCAGTCCAACCCCCTGTCATGCAGGAAGGCACAATGAAAGCACTCCCAATAGACAGCCTCTGCGAAAAAGCCTCCAGAGAAGGAGACTCCACCACACTCCAAGGCAGCCAATGCCACTCTCCAGGAAGTTCTTCACTTGACTCTATTTACCTGTCATTTGAACCCATTGCTTCCTTGTGTCCTGTTCTCTAGAGCAGCAGAAAATCAGTTTTCCCCTTCCTCCTCAATGGGACACCCTATAAAATCCTGAAATATGGTACTCATGCTCCCTCTCCACCTTCTCCTCTCCCAGCTAAACATCCCCCAGGAGGAAAGGAGGAAGGAAAATGAGAAGGAAGGAAGGAAGGGTGGAAGAGAATAGGGGATAGAGGGAGGAGAGAAGGAGGGAAAAACGAAAGGGAATAAAGGAAGGAGAAAGAGGGAAGGAAGGAAGGATGAAAGAGTGGAAGGGAATGATGAAAGGAAAAGAAGGGAAGGAGGAAGGAAAGAGGGAATGACAAAAGAGTGGAAGGGAAGGGGGAAGGAGGGAGGGAAGAGAGAAGAAAGGATATGATGAGAAAGAGGAGGACCTGAGCAAAGAACTCAAGGGGCCGCATCCAACCCGTGGGCCTGGGTTTGCCCATGCCTGATGTAGAAGAAACAGAAACGTTGTTGGAGAATTTAGTATTACTACCATCTAAAATTATGTAAATTGAACTTTCTACAATTTAATCTTCTGGGATTCAAGTCTTACCTCGAGTTTAATAAGATACATAAACTTAGCAAGATACAACTTGGGTTCCACGCGTAAATAGTGGCTTCTCCTTTGTGCTTACATACCAATTTCCTGTGCCTTTAGCTGAGGCTTGCTGTGTTATCACATTATGCCTATCCCAGTCTTACTAATGAGTTAATGGATTTCATATGAGAGGGATTGTTCTCACTATTTCTTGATACTAGTGAGTCCATGTCCATATTTGGCATTACTGAAAAGGGCTCATTGCAGTTGTAATGCCCTTTGTAATCTTATAGAACATAATGATCATCTCTTGGCAACCTTGATTTTCAGTACTATAATTTTTTGATATCACTGTCCCGGTAGCTAGGAAAGAGCTGAGTGAGAAGAAGAGAGAGCTGATTGCTTTAAGAAAATGGAGAAACCTTTGAAGTTTCCTTGCATTAAATTACAGACCACTGGATATATTTGCATTATTGGGTTCAAACTGGCTGAGAGGCCTTCAAAATGTTTTGTCAGAAACAGACAGATTTTCTCCATTGTGTGTGTAGTAAATGGGGATTTTTTTCTATGCTTTATTTACATTTGATTTGATTTATATACGTGCATGACTTATTAACCCAACCATGCATGCATTCATGCATAAAGTGTAATACGGCTTCCATCTTTGAAGCAATCAATCTGCAAAAGATTACCTATCATTTTGAGAAATGCTGTCAGCCCAGTTGTCTCCTTTTGAAATGGTGGTGACCTTCTCCAGCTGTCTCTGGAGGAACAGCTCAGGAGAAGAATTCAGTCTGATGGCTCAGTTTTGCACACATTTGTTTTTATTGGGCAACCACAGCATTTGATTTAGCTGCAACAAGTGCCCTGGGAATAACCGGACCAGGTGTCTTTACACTAGGTTTTGTTTTGCTTTGCTTTCAATCCCTCTTTCTGTTCATTTTAGCAAATGAAAAAATAGAAGACATCAATGGCTGTCCAAAGAATAGATCTCAAATGGTAAGTGAAAAATTAAACCCATCTGCACTGAATTTTCTGAAATTGTGAAGCTGAAGTATACTTACGAAGCAGTGAGTTTTTTAAAGTTCTGTTAGAACTTTTTAGATAAATACATTTAGGATGAGACTGCAAAGTCATAACATTTAACAGCTAATCAATATTTCTTTTATTGTTCAGCCTTGCAATGTATTAAAATGCATATCCTTTAAAAAGAAAGAAAAGTAAGAAGTATTCTATTATCACATTTGTTTATTTGATTGTTAACCTCTCATTTACACTTTGTAACTGGATATTGATCTGCTGTGTTTTTAAATTAAGGTATTGCCTTTCAATTTATGGCATGAATGTTTAAATATTTGCATATTGTTCTCAAGAGTCAGGACAGGGATGTTTATGATGGTTTAAGGTCTTCTCCCTCCTTTATTCTGTTGAATGATATATGATGGTAGGGATAATGGGATATACATGTAAGAAGCTTTTATCAGATTTAGATTTTGAATAAACTGATCTGTTTTTTGATAAGGGGGTAAAGTAGCTCAGTTTACTAATTGCAACTTGAGCCAATTTGCAGGAGTCTGTAAATGTCCCAAGTTGAATTATTGAAAGCATATACATTTGCAGTTTAATGCTTAGGTGTTCTTGGAAAACTGTACTGTAGAATGAAGAGATGGTTTTAAAGAATAAAGAGATTTAATAAACAATACTGTGCTTGGATAAGTACAGGAGGAAAAAAGCATTGCCCCACAAGCCAAAGATAATTATAAAATAATTAACTGCAATTTCATAAATTATAGTTATTTTAAAAACCCTCATGATATGAGAGATGCTGTGACTTACGGTGAGGAGGCTGATCACCACTGCCCTAAACTGTATTAGATTCATTGCCAACAAAATTCATAATAAGGCAAAACTGATAAATAAAAAATAGCCTAACTGGCACGGGCTACCTTTTGTGTAAGCATCAGCTGGTTCAGCAGCAGAGGCCATCCTGAAATAGGGATACTTTGCCACAGCAAGTCCAGTTACGGTAATGTCCAAGGTCTAGATGTAGGACTACCTGAATTAAATAACTTTTTCTTTTAAGAGAAGAACATCAGGATGATGAATAATCTTGCCAAGTGTAATTATCAATGTTGCTGTTAGCACCTTTGGGGGTAAATTTTGACACTGATTTCTAGGTGCAAATATGATGCTACACCAACATGGTTAGGTCAATTTTAACCATTAATAAGGAAGACTCCTTTGAAAGTTTAATTAGACTCACTCTGCCACAAATGTGGAAAAGTTTCACATTGTCCCAGAAAGCTTAATGATACATAAAGGGGGAATAGGGAAAAAAGGAAGAAACCAAAAATAACATAACCCATTCTCTTTCAAATGGCAGATACAAGTATCCATTTGGCAGAATCAAATAGCCTTCAAGTCATTTCCAATTTATGAAGTTTTTATCATACAGCATTCTTGTCAAGAGTTGTTCAGAGAGGACCTGTTGTTAACTTCCCCAGAGGCTGAGAAAGTGTGTTGCCCAGTATTGCCATGTGGTTTCATAGTGGAATAGGGATTCAAACCCTCATTTCCTGACTATGATCCAAGCTCAAACCATTAAATGCTGGTTCACATATGTAGCCAACATGTTATCCTTAAAATTAATGGTTGAGATCCTGCATCAGAAACATAGTCACAATATTATGATTACGCTCCATCTCTCAGTCTGACTCTTGAAATCCACTGTAAACTTTAGCCAGATACCCATACTGAGGGATGGAGTTCTGCACTCTTAATGAAGTATGATGAATTTATCCTCTGCCAGTGAGTACAAGGAGCAGAAACAGGGACCTGTGTGGAGTCCTTTTGCAACGCCATAGTATTCCAGGCTTGCTGGTGGAAGTAGACTAGAGGAGCCATCCTTCAGTGGCTCTCTCACCATCAACTCAGGACTCCGTTCCTTCATGTGGCTGGCTGGATTTTGGGGTCATTTATAATTGTGGCACTGCTACCACGGTATAAATGTGAATAGGAAACAGTTACAAGGTCATAGGATTAACCCGTGACATCGTAACTAATGGGATGCCAGCAGAACACATTTAAGTTTTACTTCTATGGTGGCATCTTTAAAGTTAGCCCCAGTCCACAACTGCATTATTTTCTCAGGAAATCTTAGCAATCACAGCTCTTTGTAATGAAGACATGATTAGGAAAAAAATCTGCTTATAATTACATAACTCAAAACTGCCTACTTGTAATCCTGAATGTATGCTTTATCATATGTATAATAATAATAAGACACCCTGTTGTTAAACAATATATAGTGAGAGAGCAAGTAAGCCTTCGTGCCACAGAAGCCATCTGACTTAATGACAAAACGGTTGGAATAAATAGCAGTGGTTCTGCCTACATAGATCTGACCATTCAAATAGGTCTCTATTTATAAAACACCTAGTACTGACAATTTTCACGCTTCCATATTAAAAGTGAGCCACACTCAACAAAGGGTTCAGTGCAAGGCAAAAATAATCAGGGCTTTACTTGTTGTTTTTTTAACTCTAAACTTCAACATATTTTGAATGGCTTAATAAACATTTATTTGGCTTCTTTCTGTGGCCAAATTTATCATTTACTTCTAATTATGTCATAACATTTTTAAAAATACTTACTATAGGACAATTGGGTGTTCTATTGCCCTGGTTATTGATAAAGGAATGAAAAAGGCATTTTTCCCTACAAATTAGTACAGAGAGCTCTTTGTATCTGTTGGCATTTGGTGCTAGGATCCCCTGTGGGTGCAAAATCCAAAGATGCTCAAATCCCATTGTATGCAATAGTATGGCAAAACAACATATTTTATATAAAATGGCAAACAACTCACAGGAACAGTGGACAGAGCCTGTGGCTGGAAGCTTCAGCAGAGTATGCCCACAGATCAGTTTAATGCTTGGTGTGTGGCAAAATATTTTGAGCAGTGGTTTGTTGAATCCAGTTATGCAGAACTTGTGGACATGGAGGACCAACTCTATAGTGAGTGTTTTAATATGCTACATATAAAATATTTCTAAAGCAGGAGTGCTAGGCTGGAGAATTTAGGCCTCTAGGATGACTTGAACATACATCATTGAGTGTGTGTGTGTGGCAGATAGATGATAGATAGATAGATAGATAGATAGATAGATAGATAGATAGATAGATCAAAATGATATATTGAGGATACAATGAGGCAGTTTTGACTATGTTCCCAGGAGAGGTCTTTAAACCTAGAAACTGCAGAGGTTTTCATAAACCACTGAATGAGCAACAAGGCATGGATAGCTACTCCAGAGAGCTCTGTCCTGCTGTTGAAAAAATCCATGTGACTGAAAATGTCACAGCAGAAGTAGTAGCAGCTCACAGAGGCCAGTAAGTAGGTAGTAGCACTAGAAGCAAGCCAACTAGCCAGCTCTGCAGGCAGGGATGCACTTATCATTGGTCTCACTCTGCTTTGTGAAACAACCAAGTCATGCATGTCTTCCACACTGTCGTGAAATGAACTCAGATGAGAAACAGATGAGAACAGATGAAAAAGACTCCATTCTGCTGAAGAATCAGAATTCAGACTTTCCAGCCAGTCTTTCTTCAACCCAATTTTATATATTTCTAATAGTATTTTCTAATGATTATTCCACTATTGTACATGAACTGCATTAGACATAGACATCTTCCATTTTCATAGAAGCTAGACTTTTTAATTCCTAGTTAAAATAATGTCTTTACATTAAACAGATAGAGAAAATATCCTGGCAAGACGTAAAGTATGTCCATGAAAGGAGGGGAAGTAAGATTATTTTTCTTCCTGAGAGGAGTGAACAAACACACAATAAAATCTGGCAGGGAGGGATAAAATTGGCTTTCAGTAGCTGCTCCACATTTCTGAGCATTCTTTCCCTAGAAAAAAGATCTAAAACTGTGAGCGTTTTATAACAAAGGTGGGAAATCCAGAAATTCTAATTACAAAATCCTAACTTACCAATGGCTTTGCAGATGGTAGGGCAAAACATATGGTGGCCAAGTGTTTCCTACTCTTCTTTTACAAAGCTGATGAAGCACATAACAATTGTATAGTGTAGCCGTCTGTATGTTGCAGAAAAATGTAATTAAAGGACACGAAAAGACCAAAAAAAAATTAAATACAAGATCTCTTTATACTACATAGTTGTATTAGCTTGATGCCAGTGTACATGTCATGTCTCCATCCTAAGGCACCCTGAAATTTGAATCTCAATGCAATCTTTAGAATTGTCTGCTGAGAACAGCAAATGAGGATTAAGTAACAGTGCCTTGGAAACTGTCATTCAACTTATGTAGCAGGAATTGTAAGAACTTTGCTAAAATTACAAATTCCATGACACCTAAGGATGAAATCATGACACTTAAATTGGTATCAAGCTGATATAATTGTGTGGTACAAATATACCTATAATCTGGTTGAAATGTGAGTTAATCAGTGTCATGGCAATTCAGTGTGTCAGTATAGTTGTGCTGTACAGTCTAAATTGCCATTGAATACAGAAACAGTAGAGCAAGATAGCTTTTCTTATTTTAAACATTGCTATTCCCGACATCAGCCAGATTCTCCATGAGGTATGTCAGTTTTGATATTCTAGCCATAACCCTCCTACAGACATACATTAGTTATATAAATGGAAGACCAAGATGCTGTGAACACTCTGCACAAGAGACCACTGTTGTGCTGTATAGACCTTCACACAAAACTGAATATATCTTACAGAAGACAACCTACTATACCTCCCCAATGCACATTGGGGTTCAATCCAGTGGACATATTTTCTGTTCATTGACATGAATATCATCTGCAAAATAAAGTACAGTCTGTCATTAACTGTGATTAGGGCCGTAGAACCCCCATGAAAGTGGAAAAACATGAATAAAAAAATTAAAACCCTGAGATAATACATCTCTAGGAATCTCTAGGTTTCCCAGCATGGCTCTGTGGTCAACCTCTGCTGGAA